TCCTCCTCCTCTGTTCCTCCTCTGTTTCCTCCTGTTTCCTCCTGTTTCCTCCCTCCTCTGTTTCCTCCTCTGTTTCTCCTGTTTCCTCTGTTTCTCTTCCTCTGTTCTCCTCTGTTTCCTCCTCTGTTTTTCCTCCTCTGTTTCCTCCTCTCTTCTCTCTCTGTGTCCCACTTCCTTACCTACACCAACACCATGACACCAGTTTAACACACACAGACGAAGAAGAAAAGATTTTTACAAAAACCTTATGAACATATTTTCTCCTTTTTAAAATAAAATACTTTATTGTGTCAGTAATGTCAGTGAAACATTACACGTTTCTTGTTATTCAAACATTTTGACACAACTTCTTAACCTTAAAACTGTTTGATAAAAAAAGATTGTGTGTGTGTGTGTGTGTGTGTGTGTGTGTGTATTCTGTGGTAAGAAGAGAGATGTTAACAGTCTCTGAACACGTACTACATCTACATGTAACAGCTACATCTACGTGTCTTCACCAGAACAGGAAGGAGCCCTCTTTTATTGTGTATTTTACTAGGAGTGAGAATTATTTTCCGACTGCACGCTGACTCTCTTCAGTGTTTGTTTTAGTCTTTGACATTTTAAAGTGTGAAGACGTGACAGAATCAAAACCTTGCTTCTAGCAGTGTTTGATTCTGTCTAATTACATGTAAGAGGGATTATCTTCAGAGAACAGTCAAGGTTATGAGTCAAGGGTTATTCTGATTTCTCCGTCCTTTCCTCCTCTCGTTCTCCTCCCTCCTCCTCTCAGACGTCCAACACCTATGTCGTGGACGTTGTACCACTTGGCGCGGACCGGCGGGCTCAGGATCGACTGTACGGGAGGTGAACGCCGTGGTGTCCGACAGACGGGAGCCGACCACGACGACCTGAGCAGGATGCCCTACCTGAAGGCCGTCATAAAGGAGACGTTACGGTGAGCTGACGTCTGAGGAAGAGGCGGATTTGACCTTTTATGACCCTGAAAACGAACCAGTGTCTACATGATCTTTTTAACAAGTTTTAAATCAATTTTTAAAACACACAAAAAACAGAAAACAAGAGCGTAGTGGATCCTACGCTTCTACCACTTTCCACACAATCTAAATTTTTGCAGTGGTTGAAAACTGGGGCACCACCTTCAATTGAAGGGAGATAGACAAACCAAACGAATCAGTTTTATAATCAGAAGTAGGAAACTCTCTGTACAGACCTCCACCTGGTGATAAAAGGAGGATTTATTTCGACCTAAGTGAATAAATGCATCATGGGGAACCAAAGAGAGGCTCTAGGACTTAAAAATGACTCATTCAGAAACTATGTGACATCAGCTCCTATGTCTGGCGGAAGAAGCTCAGGGGAGCTTGATGGTGCAGTAAACAGAAGAAGCCTCTGTTTTGTTTCTTGGTCCGTTTGGTTGATAGAAACTCTGCTGCGTTAACCTCTCTTAACGAGACTCATTATCGGCCTTGAAGGAAATGCTATCGCAAGGAGATTTCCTGAAGCACAAGAACAACAAAAGAACTCCTTCGGTTTGTTATTGAGCGACAAACTGAGACTTGCCTCAGATTAAGATGAAAGATTAAAGCAGAGCGACGCTGCAGGAGCGTCAGTGTAGACGAGGTCAAAGAAATAATCTGGTGAGCAGCAACTGGACAAGAGTAAAACCTGCAGAGAGGAAGTGAGTTCAGTGTTTGTGTTCCATGAGCTCTTGATCTGGTGACATCCACACGTAGAAAGCATGACTCCAGAAGGCCGCAGAGGAAGTTCACTTCCTGCTGCTGATTGTAAACATCATGACGGCGGTTCCTTCCCTGGCTGATGTTGAACTCCGACGCTTCGTTACATTTACTTTTAAAAAAAGCGTCTCATTTGCTGAGACTTTTGGAAACTCTGCTGGACCTGTTTTATTTTGAAAACTCCACGGTGGCGTTGTGTAGTCTGGACAACAGACCTTTGGAAACGATAACGCAGACACACACGGTCTCTCCTGATTGGCTCTTATTCAGCCTCACCCGCCGTTACTGACCCTATTGTCTTTGCTGGCAGCTGTTGTTCAGTTAAACGCTTCCTGTTTACACGGGTCACACATGCCCAGTGCACGAGGTCAGTGTGATACGCCTTTTCAGGTGGGTCAGGATGGACGCCGATCTGGAGGTTCTGATCCAAACCTGATGGATCAACGCCTGTCACCCTCTGGGCGCCTCGTCTCAGAATCAACTCGTAAAGTCAGAAAACATTTATTATTGTTTTGGACTATTTTGACAGATTAGTAACACAGTGTTTCTGTAGAAAAACATGAACCCATGCGACGTGCTCCGAGTAGTGAAGCAGTGTCACACCGGATGTGGGAGGAGTCAGCATGACTCACTAATCCAAATAAAATGTGTTTGTGGGTGTGTTGACTCACCTCTCAGCACAGCTGGGGTCACTTTAAGGTGCCACGTCTTTTAAAATGTTTTAAAATTTTCGATTTAATATAGTTTAGTTTGTATTATTTTAATCTGAATTTGAAGAAAAAAAAAAAACTTTTTTTAAGTAAAAAAAATCCAAATAAACTACATGGAATATACGGTAGATTAATGAAATTAGAGGCTTAATAAGAGTGGAGGCTCAGAGTGCACCACTGAGTATTGTTTGTCAATAATGTTTAATGAAGTCACATGAAGGCAGATTGGATTGTATGAGCTGGGCGGCAGCCTACAGTAATCTGGACATCAGCCGACCATGATACACACACACAACACACACACACACACACATACAGGGAGCTTTCACAACATCATGTGATGCAAACGAACAGATGGAGATCCTCATGGTG